CCCACTGCCTAAACAGGCATACGAAAAAGAAAAAAAAATTATCTCGGAGATAATAATCTATGTAAAGTTTAAACAAATTGTTTAGTTTTATTATAATAAGTTCGTAATCCCTTAGGAAAAATTCATCTTTGCTCTCAATTTGAGTTCAAAAAAGTATCTTAATAACTATTTTATTTCTCAGTTATTTCAATTAAAATTGCCTTGAAACTTCTCGGGAGCGACCACTCTCTGTACCACGGTAAAATGGTCGTTAATAAAGGTTTTTTACTGTAATTTCGAATACTAATAACTGCAACTTATACTCACTGTTCCTGTAACTCACTTTCAACTTGTCAAATTCCAACTTCTTAATTGCATTTCAATAAGTAATAGATTAAATGCCATGGAATATTTTTACAATAAATTTTACACTTAATAATTTTCGAAGTACATTTCGTTTTCTGTCATACTGCCTGTACATTTTTCAGCACTTTATCACTTTTTTTTTTGCTTTGTTTTTTTTTGTTTTCTTTTTTAATTTTCAAATTAAATAGCTTTCAATGCAGTAAAACAAAATGTAACGCAAAGTTGAACACCCAAAACAGAGACGGTGCACTTATATTTTTTCAATATAAAGAGAAATTTTACAATTTTTTCTATTGCTAAACAGTTTTAAAATTTCCAGGAACAAATTTTTTTCTTACTATTTATTTTCAGACTAGAGGGATTAAAGCGATTTACAAAAATCGTTTCAAAAGCTCAATTTCAGAACTTGTTTTGTTTTCTAGCAAAAATTGATTTCAAAATCTTTATATCCTAAACTAGAGTTGTTGTTTTTTTTTTCATTATTATCCATATTTTTTTTAAAAAGAAATTCAGACTCTTTTATGGAATCAAATGAGACGGAAAAGAATCATTGAAATTGATACGAGAGTAAAAGAATGAAAGAATACTGAGAGAAAACACAATTAATTAAATTCGAAAAGGATAAAACTTCTTTGAAAAAAAACGCGCTAAGAAGCAGCAGAAATTTCAGAAAAAAGTATCAATAAAAGAAACGAAGGAAATAAAAATAAAAATATGACCACCGAAGCCGACGTCTTCAGGGGGTACCGGCCTCGGTAGCCATTAAAAACAAAACCATTTCTAATTGTGGGAGAAGCAAATGCTTAAAATATCTCCCTCAGTACCCCGATGGTTTTGTATAGAGGTCCAGGAAAACAAGATACATTCAAAATAATTAACAAATTAAGAAAAGAAACTCAATCAAAATCATCAGAAAAATAAAAACTCACTAAGTCACAGGTCAAGCATCAACTTCAAAAGCAAGTAGAGGAAAAGAAAACACTAAAAACTGAAAAACCAACGCCCCCTATTATAATGCGCAGAAGAAGTTTAAAATGAAATGGAAAAGGTCAGGAGAAAGAAATACGTAGACAAATTAATAGAATGCT